CACGGCTTGGGCCGTGGTGGTAGCGTCATGGACCTCTCCGTGGGTGGCTACCACCGTGGTGGTTGCCATGGTGGAGCCTCATGGTGGTGGTGCCACTCTACTTATTGTCACGTTTAGCCTCGTGAATCGTCGTGGTCCCATCTCTTGAACATTGGAATTTTCGTTCGTTGAAGTTTCTAAACTTCTAGCCATTGTACTTTTCTTTTATGTTTTATCCAAGAATTTTTGCAAATAAAAAATTCTAAAAATAAGAACGTACAAAAAATCTACAAATGGACAAGAAAATAAAAAACCTTGGATGCAAGAGTCTTCTACAAGTGTAAGACACAACTCTCAATGAAAGCACCAATTTGTGGATGCAAATTTCTTCCTCCTTGCTCTTGGACAAAATTGCACCTGTAAAACAAACAACACCTGAGGTCAAGGCCAAGAGCATCACATGCCCATGATGAATGAGGGGGTTTTGGCCAAAGAACCTCCGATGTCAAAGTTAGAATTTTGAAGGAAAAGTGTTTGGAGAATTTAGAGAATTTAGCAAGATAATTGGAATTGAGTTTTGGATAGAATGAAAGGGTTTATATAGAGGTGTGGCTGGCCCCTTTAGGAGGAAGAGGACCGGCCACTTGGTTGGTATTTTGGGTGAGGTTCATAATTTGTAACTAATTAGGAACAATTGAATAATCAATCAATTAATTAGTTAATTAATAGAATAATTTCCTAACTAATTAGCTAATTAATATAATAAGAGATTAATGATTTGGGAGTTACCTTGTGGAGAGGATTTGATGAGGATGGATGAAATAGGTTTTGAATTATTACCTATTTTGGGCACTTTTGACTTGATTGAGCGTTGATTATCTACTGCTCGCCCGTAGGAATCCTTGTGTGCCTCGAGGGTAATTTTGTCCTTTTTATCCAAAAATCCACAAGTCACCTCTCAATTATTTTTGGCTCCACACATTGGAGCCGTAGAATTAGCCGATCAAGGAGCACCTTCAGTTTGGATAGATAGCACTGCTTCGAGGCTAACTAGTTATTATCCAAGTCTCAGTCGACAAGGATTTTTAAGTCCTTGTTGGTAAAGGTCATCTTATCAGCCTTCTCGGCGAAGTGAGTTGTTACAAGCTACTAGGCTCGGCACATTGAACGCCAAGTTTTATTTTATGATTGGATGTTCGCAAGTGCATTTTAGAGTTCGGCATTCCGACGGCCGAACCACATTTACCATCAAAACATTTATCTTATTCGAGTATTTGTGTCTGTATAGTCTGCTGCCAATTCTGCATGCTTATACTCTTATGAATATAATTACTGTGATCGAACCCGATGCTGATGATTTGTGAACTTCGCAGAACTAGCAGCCTTGTCTTCAGGCTCTAGAACCCGAAGGCCAAGACATGTTCCTTCCTTGGCCGCATTCGCAAAATTAAGAAGTCAGCAATATGCTCAACGCAACATCAGCATATTTTACTCCCCGACCAAGCTTGGCCGTTAAGTTGGCACGCCCTGCACATAACCGAATGATGTAGTTAGCTTATTAGTTACTCGGCCTACGCACAATGTAGGCTTGGTAGTTTTTTGGACAATTAAATACACATTCATGATCACCATATAGATAGCTGAAAATGTTTATCAAAAAAGATAACTTGCTTGTTATTTTAAAGAAAAATACTATTAGGGTTTAGGATAAGTGTGTTATGCATATTAATTCAGTGCAAGCTAAGACACCTACATTGTCTCAATAATCCTCAACCCTTAGCAAAGATGGAGAGGGGGTAAGACAGACCACTAGCCCCCACCATTCTCCTCCCGAGCAAAGGACGTCAATGAGGCTACTTTTCAATTAAAAAAAGATTAGAAAAACAAAGTTCATCAAGTGATGTGGCTACATAAAAACCGTGGTCTTAATCCGAACCGTGGTGATCATAATTCTTGCTTTCACTGTGTTCCAAGCGAAGAATCCAAAGATCAAGTTGAACAAGGTCACGATTACAAGGCTGGAGTTGATCATCAACAACACAATCCCTAAGCCAGACTCTAACATTTCGCTAACAGCAGATGTGTCGGTGAAAAATCCAAATGTGGCCTCATTCAGTTATAGCAACAACACTACCACTCTGTATTATCACGGCCTGGTGGTGGGGGTGGCTCATAGTCCATCGGGAGTCTTTAGGGCTCAACGGACCATAAGGATGAATTTCACAGTTGACATCATCACGAACAGTCTCACGTCCAACCCCAATGTGAGATCGGATGTGGAGTCAGGGTTGATAATCATGAGTAGCCATTTTAGATTTCTTGGAAGGGTGAAGGTGTTGAATATTATCAAGAGACATGTGGGTTGTGAAAATGAATTGTAGAATGACTGTTAATATTTCCAGCCAAGCAATTCAAAAACAAAAATGCTAGAGGAAGTTTATTCTCTAGGTAGGTATCTATAGTTTGTTTTGAGTGTTGTTATACTCACTAACTTGTCCCATTTTCTCGCTCAACTAACAACTAAAATATAGATGACAAATCAATATAATGTGGGTGTCAAAATAGAAAAGATGAATGGGCATGTATAGTAGCACTATTTGTTTACTGTCTTTAATGTAGATAATAATAAGCACCTAACTTGGTCTCCTCAAATCCTAGCCGCTAAACAGAAAAATAGAGAGAAAAAACCACTATACCCAACCCTCTGGTCGGTGGCAATCCTTGGTTTTTTTTTTCCTCTCTTCCTATTCTTATTTTTCTTATCATCTAAATTTTTTTTTATCTCCTGGTTGTAGTTGCTCTTTCGCTTTGTGGATAAGAGCTATCATGATTGAGGCCACTCTATCGCTATTTTGAGGGTCTGTTGTAGCATTTGTGGCCTACTACTCAACCTTGAATCTTAAATTGGGATTGTTGTTCAGCTTTGAGATTGTGGTTTTTGTGGTTCTCGTTGTTTGTGAGCTTGGAAAATGTTTATGAGAAGCTCAACGTTTTTAGACGCGACTCATAGGAATGCTTATTGCCAACAATTACAAGTTCATTCGAATGGTGTGTGGTTTCCTTGTGGTGCATTTACGGCACTTATCCAACTTACTGTAAGAATTTAGTTCCCGTGTGTGATATCTTCCATGTTGGATGGATGTGCATCCTCTGTAGCTGATGAATCGTATTGTATTTTAATGTTTGTAATTTTGAAGCCATGATTTTCTTTTAGTATGTGTGCTCTTTTATTCCTGCTCCAAGGATTTCCTCTGTGTTTTTTTCTGGATAAGGTTTGACGTAAGGCTTACATTTGAGATGCATGTCCTATATCAGTTCTTAATGAAGTTTTATCTGACCCATATACATATATATAGACAAAGAGTTAGGCCGGAGGCACACGCTTTTGACACATTTTTTTTGTTTCACTCCATAATGTATTTCAAGATTTGAACCGTCTATTTTTTAGGTATTTCTTCAAATATCATGTCTACCAAAAATACCTAAATCTGAAACCATATGACCGTTGGATCAAATTTAGTGTTTTTTTTTAGAACCATATTCGTCAATTTCTTTTATTACAAATGAATGTCTTATTGATTTGGGATATGTCTAATATTTTGCAATAATTGTGTACAAATGATTTTCTAAAATATAGACGGTTCATATTAGTGTTAAAATGTATGTCAAAAACGTGTCCTCGGATAAAATCTCTTCAAATTGAATCTTGCATCTAATAATTGAACGTCTCTACTAACCATTTTTGGGCCTCTATTGGTTAGGCCTCTATGAAAGATTTTCTTTTTGGGTTGAAACATTTTTTATGTTTTTCTTTTATGTACTATTTTGAACATCTAATAAGTGAAATACCTTACGTCTCTACTAACCATTATTCATGCATTCTAGGGCTATGTTACTATGTAAGATGTAATTTGTCGAATGGCCTTTGTTCGTTAAAAGTCTCTACGACCAAAAAAAAAATGAAAAAAATTGAAAAACTCTCACCGTTTGGTGGTGTGGTTCCAATAAACTTTTAACATATGATGCATCATGCATTCCTTTTGCTTACTCTTTCATTTTGATACCCTTTCTTCAAAATATTGAATCATTTCAACCCCACACGTTCCCTCTACCTTAAAGTCATAACTCGCTCATTAAATTAAACAAATTACACAAAATATAAGAACGAATGTGTGATGACTTGCTTCTGTAAGCGTCTTTAATTAAATTAATCAATTAATTTAGTTATGTTTCGATTCCAACGTTGCTTCGCTGCCATTTGATTATTTCCAAGTTTCTGGCTTTGGGGAATGCCAAATCCAACTTTGTTACATCAAGGAAGATCCGTTGACCAAATTATAACATATTATACGAACACAAATTATTTAATAATCGGACATGTATGCATTTACAAATTCTATATGTATTACTGAAATAATCATTACATTATAACTTTAGCTATGTTCATAAGCCGTATAAACCTAACCAACTATCGGTTGAATTTAACATTTACTAAGAATTCATTTGGAACTGTTTTTGTAGAAAGTAATAATGTTCATAAGCGTTTATACTATAATTGCTTCTACTGTAAACATGTAGAAATTTTTTACTACAAATTTCATATGTTTGTTAATAAAGAACATGGGACTGCGGCACTTGACGGATGCTTTTTAAGAAATTAAAATGCATAATTGCTTTTAATTTTATTAAAAGTGTTTTATAGCCGTCATAAAACAACTCCAATTTTTTTTCAAACGTATCTTAAATTTCTAATTAATTAACGCTAGTGCCAGCGTCGAATTCAGAATTTTGTAAATATGGAAATGTGGCGGGGTGTGGGCCTAAAATTACTTTTTACTATTTAGTGGGCTAATTGGGGATTGCGTGGGGGGTTAGGAGCCGAAAACAAAACAAAACCCAATCCAAAATGGAGGGTGGTAGGAGTAAGTCACTACCACTCACCACTCACATTTTCCCACCAATTTAATGCGTCTTCTGGTGTGAGTATTAAATGCAGCAGCTGCCGCACCCACCCACCATCTCACCCCAACCCACCCAAAAAAATCACACCCCCCTCCAATGGCTATACCCCTCCTTCCCCCTCCCTTCCTCCAATGTCGTCCACCCCCACCCCCTCCTCCAACTCCAACCCTCACTCCCCCACTAATTATCTAACTACCCTCGGCCTCGGCTACGGCATCGCCATTTCTCTCGGCTTCCTCGTCCTCTTCTCCACCCTTCTCCTCGCCTCCTACATCTGCTGCCGCGTCTCCCGCCACCGCCACCACCACCACCACCAGCCGCCTCAGCGCCAGAACCCGAATCCGAGCCCCGAAGGCGTCATCCTCCCCCGCATCATCTTCGTCGCCGAAGACGACAACGAGCAGCAGCAGCAGGATGATGATGAGAACGCCGTCGTCGGGCTCCACCCGAGCGTCATCAATTCCTACCCCAAGTTCCCGTTTTCCAAGGAGGCGTCGACCCCCGATTCGTCCACGTGCTCCATCTGCCTCTGCGACTACAAGGACGCCGAGATGCTCCGGATGATGCCGGAGTGCCGGCACTACTTCCACCTGTTGTGCCTCGACGCGTGGCTCCGGCTCAAAGGATCGTGCCCGGTTTGCCGTAACTCGCCGCTGCCGACGCCTCTGTCAACTCCGTTGCAGGAGGTTGTGCCTTTGTCTCAGTACCCGGCCGATCGGAGATGGAGGAGGTGACATATTGCCCATTGATTGGATTTCTGTTTTTTTTTTTTCACTTTCTTTATTTAGTTTTGGGTTTTATTTTTTCTTTCGATTGTGTTAGTTTTCAGTGGGGTGTATCGAGTGGTTGCTTGGTTTCGGGAGATTAGGAAATGTAAATTTTTTTGGGGTTTTGAAATTGGTGAAAGTGGATTATGCAACAAAAAAACTGAAATTTAAGGGATTTGTTTTAATGTTAATCAACTTTTTTATCGAGTGATGATAAAGTTTCTGAATTATTCTACTTCACTTAAAAGCATTCAGCTTTTCCAATGGACAAGTCTTGTTCATAATATTTGAATTTACATAAAGATTGAGTTCCACTAAACCAACTTGTCATGAGCAAAGCATTCGCCATTCGACGAAGGGCTTGTGTTTGCGTTTCTTGCTTGGTAATACAAAAAATAGGGGAGTTCTTGTTTGGCCAATGCTAAATTTTGATAGAATAGTGAATCTGCAACTTTGGCAACCCTGTCTGAATTTGTAATTTTCTTTTTTCCTTGTTTGAAGGCGTAGTGTTAATTCGTGGATTGTAGGGATTTGATGGAGAGTCAAAGGTCATGTGGTGGTCATGACTCAAACAATCATGTACTTTCGAAGTAGCATAAGACAAAGTCGGCTGCTTTGACACCTAATCTAACCCTAAACATGCTAACTACTCTTTTTCTAGTTGCCTTTGCTTGTGCTTTAATTCTACTTCTCGTAGGATTAATATATTTAATTTCTACAGACTCTATGATTCTATTCTTCTCGATGGAGGCCTTCTTTTATTATATGATGGAGAAGAAATTGAATACAAGACTTTAGTTGAAATAAAATAATTTTTATGCAACGGAAATACTACTACAGTAGCATCCGTGATTTGATTAGACGCTCGTAAACAGTTAAAGGAACATTGTCTAACAAAGTCAAATGTATGTATGTGAGCATATTGTGCAGTAACAGTACAGCACGTGTTTTTGTGAAGTGTTGCGACTGATCCTCTAGTTGTCTCTTCTCTTAATCACACTGCACCACAACACTGACCAGTTTTTTGCGGAATGGAACTGTATTTCCATTCATATCTTGACTAATTCACCTCACATTTTATCTTAAACCTCAAGCAAAATGATTAAACAAGCCCTAGTTGCTTTGACTGGAATTTGCCTCCCATTTTGTATATAGGAAAGAGTGGTACTGGTAGGGTAGCGATTTTCGCATTCCGATATTTCCTTCTGCGCTCCTTTCTTTCTTCGTGTTCTTTTGTTCTCTTTTTCTTTATTCAATCTAAAGAAAGAAAAAGGGAGGATAACGCAGTGCGGGAAAAAATAGGAACATGAGCCTTTAAAATGTTGGGATCCAAAGGATGGAAAGTAATGATCCCCATATTTTTTTAAACGAAGATCATCATTTTCAATGATTTTTGCTTTCTAATATAAAGTGCTCATAAAGATAAAGAAATTTTTCAGTGTTTCTAAAATACGATCGGTACATCAAAGTTAGTTATGTAAGTGGATGAATACTTGAAGGAAAATGTCTATCCACGAAGACCACCAAAAAACCTCTTTGATCAAATAAAACAGATGCGAGCTTTACACTCTCTGATCTCAAAGCACATTTTTAAAGACTTAATTTTCATATCCCAAAACCCAGTTGAACACAGTTTAAGAAATATTCTGTTTTCTTGAAAAAGTTTTCAAATGTGAACTGTTGAAAAGCACTTCTCAAAACTGCTGCTTTTTTCTATAGCAGAAAGATACGAGTACACCAAATCTTTTCGAAGACCTTAGGAACATGGAGAGGAGGAGTTCGCAGCTCAATCTTTGTGTTAAGTGCTTTTGCTCTTCTCATTTCTATTGCTACTTTATCCAAATTCAACTCTCTCGGATCGTTTCACGTCACCTATGCCCTCTGCAGTTATGTAAACACTGATCAGAACCAAAGCAGGATCGACACCATGTCACGAAAACTCTCAAAACTGTATTCAGAAAATCTAAACAGAACTTAAGAAGTTCAGAGATTCGGAACCAAGCCGGGAGAGATCAGGATTGGACTCGACTTTCAGCGTTGGAACCGGGACTTTTGCAGCAAGGATGAGGGAATTCAATGTGACTATAGTCTCAGCAATTATCAATCGCGGGGCACCTTTCAACGAAATGATAGCGCTTCGTGGACTTGTCCCGCTTTACCTGACTATAAATCAACGACTACCATTCTTCGATACACCACGAGGTTTCTAGACGGGTGGATAGATTTTATGCTGCTGGACTTTGTTCTGTACGATTGGGATAGAGTTCTGAGTCCTGGCGGGTTCTTGTGGATCGACAGCTTCTTTTGTTTGAAGGAGGATTTGAGTGATTATTTAGAATCCCTGAAGATGCTGAGGTATAAGAAGCACAAATGGGTAGTTGTTCCAAAGCTTGATAAAGATGATGATGGGGAAGTTTTCTTCTCCGCTGTATTAGAGAAGCCCGGCAGGCCGTTCCGGTAATTTACAGATTGATCTTATGTGTCTGATAATTACTATTGATTTTATATGAGCTTAAGTTTTTGGAATATGATGTTATAATTGTCATTACAGTTAGATGAGGTTGCTGTGATAGAAGGAAAATTTTCTGCAAAATTCATTTTTGTTTCTATTGACAATACGATATTACTAAATAAACTACTCGAAGTTATTGAATGGGGACTCGATGTAGGTGCAAAAGGGTGAAGATTGTGTTGGTCAACTGACCTAACTCACGTCACGTACGCTTGTAAAGTACGAACGGTATAAAACAGGCAACTCTGCTTCTCAACAGAAGGCATGAGTTTAGGCAGCCACAAGACACTTTGCATTGGTGGAGGCATTAGTTAATTTTTGAGTGTCCATTTTTACTTGGTGCAAATAAGGGTCCACTCATGTCATGTTAAACTGAGGTAGGTTTTCTAGCATTAAACCTGCCAGGAACCTGTACAAGTAGCTGACCCAACAGAAATTTCAATAGAGTAATTTGATTAGGGTAGTTTTCACAACAAGTGAAATCAGCACGCGGTCGAGTGTCCAAATCAAAATGATCTCATGTTTTTATCGTTGTCCCTTGTTCGATGAACTTAATAATGATGGCAACGAACACAACTGGTGAACTGCTCTACTAAATAAAATCTTCTTCTTTAACTCACTGCATCTCATGTTCAAAAATACGAATCCAAAGCAATATGGAAGGGCCTTTGAGAAATGGGGCAGAAGGAACCTTTGTGATTGATGGGCCTGAGGCCCTTTGTTATAATTGGCTATCAGCCTATGACTTAGCTGCATTTCTTTTTCATTTGCAAATGATTAGCTGGATTAATCAGTGTCCATTTGTTGTGACTGTGAGTCGAAATAAAGTAGCCAGCGTTTGCATATTCTCCCTCCACTGGTCCACCATAAAAGATTCGAAAGATGCTAGGGCCCAGGCCAACCAGCAAATATGTAAAAAAAGATTCTAAACAACAACAAAGTTCAAAACTTTAAAGTTTTGCATGACCCTCTTCTAAAGTTTAGAATAATACAAATTTATCTAATTGGAGTGATGATAAGTACAATTTACAAAGGTTGAATAACAGTCACTTTAGACTTTAGAGTGGTGGTGAAAAATTTTGGAGTGTAAATGACAGCTTTTAATCGTAAAATATGTATTTTGTGTAAATAAAAATGAATAAGAAAACGTTGGGGATGTAATATTCAAAATCTGGATGTGAGAAATAAATAAATTCATAACTTCGTTTTTTTTTTTTTTTTTTTTTTGACTTAGTCAAGGGTATCCCAAAGGCTTCCTAGGCCCAAGGACTAATCCCTCCTGCGCATGTGAAATGCTCCAACCGTGCATTGCAGCACAGTGCCTGGCCACTTTGACAGCTTCGGGGTTCGAAGCTAGGTTGGGGAGCACACCCAACTAGGCAAGAACCATTAGGCCACTTGCAGTGGTTAAATTCATAACTTCTTAGCCACACTATAATTTTATTAACTTTAAAAGATTTTAGTAACTTATACAACTAGTTGTATATTAGTTGTAAAATAATAAAGTTCACGATTAAGTTAGATGTAAGAACTAAAATGTTGTCACATTATTTAGGATATGAGTTGTGTTGGATTGCTTATGAATTTTGTTTAAATAAAATAAAAACTTTTGAAAGTTGAAAGCTTTATATGGGAAACCTAAGTCTTTTGGGATTAACCCAAGTTAGGATTAATGCTTTTTTAAGGAGTTATAATTAAGTTAAGTAAGAGTTTAATTCTTGAGCCCTCTCGAGCAATAACCTCATGAATAAGCTTAAATCTCCTTAAGTCATGAGTAGCTGATTTTCCGAGACTTCCAAAAATAGGCAAAAACTCTTGAATATGTTCAAAATTTGAGAAAGATTTACAATACTCCACCGCTTGAAACTCTTAGATCCAATTCAAGGGTAAATAATTGTCTTAAAAAATTGCAAAAAAAATGGTTTTAAACCTATTTACCTAATTCGTCTTTGTAGACTTTCTACCATATTCGCAGTCACAATTCACTTTCTTTCGTAGCCTCAAAATTCTAGGCCTATTTTTAGGTAAATTAAAGCTTACCTTAACAAGCTCTTATCGCCTAAACCAACTCACTTTCTTTCATGAGTTGGATGGTTTGATACATGGGATGCGGGTATCGGTGGAAGCGGAGCCAATTTCACACTTATTCTTTGTGGATGATTCCGTCGTTTTTTGTCAAGCTAATGAGTATGAGGCCAATCAGGTGATGCGCATTTTACAGGATTATGGAGACTCCTCGGGTCATATTATTAACTCGGATAAAAGTTCTATATTTTTTGGGAAGGGATGCCCTAAAAAAACAAAAAAAACGCATCGTTACGGTGATGAATATTCAAGCAAGAGAAGGATTAGGTAAATATTTGGGGATTCAGGTTGACTTTGGGCACTCAAAGAAGGCGGCCTTCGAATCTGTTAGACATGGTATTGAGTCTCGTATTGACGGTTGGGCAGAACAATTCCTTTCTCCAGCGAGTAAGGAAGTTTTGATCAAATCGGTAGCAATGGATATGCCAAATCATGCTATGGCTTGCTTTAAGTTACCGGTTGGAATGTGTAAAGAAATGGAGGGGGTTATCTCTCAATTTTGGTGGAGAGGGCAATCGAGAACGAAAGGGTGTCATTGGGTGGCGTGGGATAAGATGACAATGAGTAGAAAGTGTGGAGGTTTGGGTTTCCGGGACTTGATTTGTTTTAATTTGGCTATGCTAGCAAAGATCAGTTGGCGGGTATTACAGAACCCTAACTCTGTTCTTGGTCGATTACTTCGTGATAAATACTTTCCTGCAACTTCTTAGGAGGAATAAATCCTCGTGGGGTTGGAAAGGAATTTTACTTGGCCGTCAAGTATTACTATGTGGTCTTAGGTGGAGAGTTGGTAATGGATCAAGTATACATGCGGCGAATGACCCGTGGTTCCCAACACCCCATACATTTAAACCCCGGATGCAGCAAAGGGATGTTGATCCGTTTGTGCAGTTCCTTATTGATCCTGTGACTAAGGAATGGAAGACTGAACTTGTGACGGAATTGTTCGAGTCCGAGGATGCTGAAATTATTAGGGCTGTCCCTTTTAGTCGAAGTGGATGTGACGATCGACGTATATGGCATTATACGAAAAGTGGGCTATATACGGTAAAATCAGGGTACTTTGTTGCACTTGAGATGATGAAAAATGGGGAATTTGGTAGGAAAGGGGGTGGTGTGTCAAGATCTCTGTGCTCTATGGATGGTCTTTGGCAAAAAACATGGAAGGTGATGGTTCCTAATAAAATTAGGTTGTTTCTTGGGCGAGCTTGCCGTCAATCTCTGACGGTGAGATATAATTTAGAAATGCGTCGAATTCAAGTTAAGAATATATGTGAATTATGTGGAGTTACTGATGAAACAGAAGCACATATTTTTTTAACTCTGAATTTAACCGAGCATTTTGGTTTGGTGCATCTTTACAAATTGATATGAACTCTTTTGGGCACAAGACTTTCTGGGGGGATGGAAAATGTTCTTAGACCGCATGGGTCAGGGGCATGATGTAGATTCAGTGCTACAACGAATTGCATTTGGTTTGTGGCGTATATGGAAATGTCGCAATGAAGCTGTTTTTAACGATAATCGTATCATGCCTTTTGCAGTTGAGTTATGGTTACGTCAAGTAACCGAGTTTCAAGCGGCAATGGATGTGGAGCATGGGGAGGGGGCTAGAAGTGGACAGCAGGAAATGGTGGATGATATTTCCCAGATTGAGGTCAGCACAAAGGGATGGAGGAAACCTGAATTTGGCAGGTTAAAATTAAATACTGATGCGGCATGGCAGAAGGAAACAAAGGTAGGTGGAGTGGGTTCGGTCTTACGTGACTTTGCAGGAATTCCAAAGATGGTGGGAGGAAATGGTGGGGAGTATTTCTTGTCGTCAAATATGGCTGAGGCGGCAGCCATAAGACAGGGTCTGGAGATGTGTGCTTTAAGGGGATTTCATGCTTCCGGGGAGGCACTGGAGGTGGAGTCTAATTCGAAAGGTTTGGTTCAAATGTTAAATAAGGAGATTCAAGCTGATGTGTTGATGCAGGTCTATGTAGTTGATATTTGGAATATGATGTAGTCATTCCAATCGGTGAAGTTTATTTTTACCCTTCGACAATGCAATCGTGTAGCCCAGTTGGTGACAGCTTACGTTCCTAAGCATGTCAGAAGTTTTGGTTGGGATAAATTAGGACCTGAATTTTTGTTTAATGTTATAGCAGAAGATGTAAATATTTCCATTCGTATTTGTTATTAATACATTTCTATCCTTTGTCAAAAAAAAAAAAATTGTTATAAAAAGGTCAAAGTTAGAGGAATAACCTTTTTAATAGTAGATGCAAGGTAGATGTAAAATGTCACACTAAAACTATAGCACATGCAGATAACAAATAAAAGGCAGAGGAATAGATGATGTTACTGATATTTTTCTCTCGTTCACTTCTTCTTTTCTTTCCTTCTTATATTTTCTATAACATGAAAACATATGGAGTGCTCTATTTATAGAGCAACTCCAAACTCATACATTAACTACATGTTAAAACTTATAACACGTCCTCTGACAATGCAATTCATTTTCCACTTTCACTTTGCATGGGCATTGAAAACTGCTACCCATGCTGAAGAATTCTACTAATGAAACTGTGGGCATTCATTGCCCATGAGACTTTTCAACAAAAAAAAAAATTATCAATTGATTTTTCCCTTTTTATCCATTTCTTGTCTATTAAGTTACCACAATTTTAATTTTTAAAATTCTAAATTTGACCCCTAATGCCTCCCCATAACAAAAAATAAAATAAAATTCGTTGGACAATACTACCCCCAATCTGGATCCACCTCCACCCCTCCATCACAACGTGGAGCCCTATACGAAGGGAGTGGACCCCACAAAGAACCTACCCAAGGGAAAAAAAGTCACCCGACCGTCCAAGCCACTCATGTTCTCACTGCTCCCCGCCACGTGGTTCGCAACCTTTCAAACCAGGTCGGTCACTTTGTTTCAAATTTCCCCCGAACCAACCGGTTCCGGACCCGAACCTCCAGCCTCGCGCCAATCATCAAAATTAACGGCCCAGATGTGACCTCGTTTCCCGCACCCTTTTTTATCCCCGCTCTTATCCCAGCCCCAAAACCCTACTTATTGTCCGTGCATCATTTCCGTTACTCGTCTAAGCGTTTCGGTGCGATTTTTATATACTTTCAACTTTTCGGGTTCCGGATCGGATTTAGGAGATCATGGCCGATGAGAAGGAGCACGCTGGATCGCCGGTGGAGGATGAGCCATCACTGTTGGAGAAGATAGGCGACAAGATCCACGTCGGTGATCACGATTCGTCGTCTTCCTCGTCTTCCGACTCGGATAACGAGAAATCGGAGAAGAAGACCGAGTCGGTGAAGGCCAAGGTTTTCCGGATTTTCGGCCGTGAGAGGCCGGTTCACCATGTGCTCGGCGGTGGAAAGCGTACGGACATCTATTATCTTTCTCTGAAGTTTTTACTTTCACTACTATTTGAAATGAATACATATATATATATATATATATATATATATATTATTTGCGAGTAGTGATTTAGGGTTTTAGGAATTGTGGATTACTGGATTTGTGTCGGTTGTATGGTGATCTGGGATTTTAGATTGCTTTTAAGCTGTGTTTGGATGCTTAGAAAATTTCTGAGCCGATCAGAGTTTTTCTTTTTGAGCATCTATTGCTGTGCTCGGATAAGTTGAGCAGTTCCGATCGGTGAAGTTGATCCACTAATTAGTTCATTAAGTTTTGGAATCTTCGATTCCTTTTTCAATATTGCATTAGATTTTGGATTTTGGATTTTGGATTTTGACGTTGGTGAACTGTTGCAGCTGCTGATGTGTTCTTGTGGAGAAACAAGAAGGTTTCGGCTGGAGTTCTCATCGGAACCACAGCCATCTGGGTCCTCTTCGAGTTGCTTGAGTACCACCTGCTTACACTTGTTGGCTACATTCTGATTTGTGCCCTGGCAATCTTGTTCCTCTGGTCCAATGCCCATGCGTTTATCCACAAGTAAGACGTTCGGCCTTTTCGATTTCATTGTTTCATTGTCCGGATGCTTGTGTAGGATCTCAATGTAATATATGGTTATGTTTGGATCACTGCCTAATGGGTTAATAACTTTGCTTGTGTAGGACTCCCCCTCATATCCCGAAAGTTCACCTTCCTGAAGAACCATTCCTGCAGGTTGCATCTGAGCTGAGAGTTCAAATCAACTGTGGATTTGCACTGCTTCATGATATTGCATCTGGGAGAGACTTGAAAAAATTCCTCGCTGTAAGAATATTTGATCTTTATAACTCTTGTAACACGTCTGCCAATCAGTATAATGTGACTTGATTCAGCTTTTATTCGTTCGAAACTCAGTAGCTTAATTTGCGTACATTACGTGTCATGGGTTAACAGCATTTAGAATTTGTGCCATGCTAAATTTCATCCCTTAAGTTAGCGAGGTTTCGTTGATTTTGTTGTATGGTTTTGTTTCTCTGTTAGTCTAACGATGAACTGTCGGTTTCAGGTTATTGCTGGCTTGTGGGTTCTGTCTGTTGTGGGCAAATGGTGCAACTTCCTGACATTGTTTTACATATGTAAGGACTACGGAGAACTTGTGTGTGCTTTTGATGCCCATGATATATTTTTATTTCCCTTATTAATGTCTGGCCTTGTTTTACAGGCTTTGTTTTGCTGCACACCGTGCCCGTCATTTATGAGAAGTACGAAGACAAGATCGACCCGCTTGCAGAGAAGGCGACTATCGAGTTCAAAAAGCAGTATGCCGTGTTTGATGCCAAGGTTTTGAGCAAGATTCCGCATGGTCTAAAAAGCAAGAGGTCTTAGAAAGCTTGGGGTGTTATGTCGTGTTCTAAAGCTCTAGGATTCGTAGTTAAGCTTCCCTTTCTGTTCAAGTGTTTTGGGTTTGTAATTTGAATGACTATACTCGTGTGGTCTAGTTTCGAGAATTAGGTTCCGTTCTTGTGCTTATACATAATCGTGGGAAGCCATTAAAACCTTACCCATATTTCAATTATGATGACCTTATGTTATTCAATGCTGCTATACATCGTCGGTTAATGTATGAACTGTTATGGTATATATATTAGTTCATGCTTGATTCTCTTTTTGGTTGTGAGCATGATACTTTGGTCCTAAAGTTACGATGAACGACTAATTTTTGTGGTGATTTTGCTTGTGGTTCAAGTTGAATATTTCTTGTTCATTATAAACAAAACGAATCGATGGTGTTTTTCTTCAAAGCCTTATTCCGACATTTTTCTTTTAACTTGGTGTTTGATACAATTGAACATTTTTAAGTGACCAATGCATCCACCTTCGAATTTGATTGGTAAGACTGAATTGATTGGGTGGGCTTTAAGGACTTTGTCAAAACCACAATTACAGCTAGTGTTAGATTGAATGGCAAGGATTTAAAACTAGGTGCCATGAAACAACGGGATTGCTTATTGACAGGTAATAAATCACGGCGTGTTACTCGCGACTTATATGTTTTAAATGTATTTATATGCGTAAATTGATAAAAGGAAAGTCAAATATTTGAAGTAAATGAATAATTTTAGATCATGCTGGAAGAAATTCCTCATAAACCAATTAAAGCAATTGAATTCACATAATAAAATCGATCTCTGTAGAATTTATATTAAGAATAGAAAAAATAATATTTAATAAGCAATTGATTGAATCATATTATTACTAACTTATTATGAGGTACTAAATATAAAAAAAAGCACCAAAAAGTAAATTATTAAAGAAATAATGTTAAAATAACGAAAATGTCCTTACCTTATTTGATGTATTATTTTGGAATGCCTTTGAAGTTTTTTGTTGCTAACCTATTGTAAGGCTAAGCCCACCCCTCCTCCCCCTCCCCCTCAGTGTAGATAATATCGTTTGTTAAAAAAAAAAAAATCATTTGATAACTTATTGTTATCCGCGTGCGAAAAATCTTTTTTATAACCGGCATTACACGCCTCTTAAGATGTTTTGAACATGTTTAAAAATAAAGAAATTGAATCACATTATTGCTAGCTTATTGTGAGGTACTTTTAGGGGTGGAAAATTTTGCCATAAATCGATTTACCGACCAAACCATACCGGTCAGCTCATAATGGTGGGTGTGTGTGTGTGCGTGTGTATTTTTTCCTATTTAGATATTTTAGGTATATAGTGTGTGTGTATTTTTTTTTTCCTATTTAGATATTTTAGGTATTTTTTACATGCTTGACTGTTGACTCCTCAGTTTTAGGGTTTATAAAATAAATGACTCCTTAGTTTTAGGGTTTAAAAAATATATGTATATGTATATGTATATGATCCATGCCATAATAAATATAGAAAATATTGTTAACAAAATTGATAGCATGATGATTACTGATATTATATATACACGTAAATATATATGCGTTGCTTATGTTTAGGATGATGAAGTCTAGCCAATCAACCGCTGGTGCACAACATGGATTAACCCAAAATGAACCACACAATGCAACCGAACAAGCATCCCAATCTGAAAATCAAAATGAGCCTTAGAACTAGAAGATAGCAAGCAACATGTGGAAACCACCGGTTTTGCCATTGACAAACCGAACCAGCCAATAATTTCGGCTGAACCGATTTTTGGCAACCGCAAGAAGACTATTGGCTAGCGGTAATTGATTTTCGGTAATTATGTATATGTTGCTAGCATATGGCACAAGGAATTTGGCACGGTTTGCCAATCAAACCTAGCCCTAGAGGTACTAATTAAAATATAAAAAAAAACACCTAAAAGTAAATTATTAAATAAATACTGTTAAAATAACAAAAATGCAACTTGTCACATCTTGGCCCCGGGGGACCACTTCCCGGGCCCGCTCCACCACTATAGCACGATATTGTCCTCTTTGGGCGCCGACCACGCCCTCACGATTTTGTTTCTGGGAACTCACACGAGAACTTCCCGATGGGTCACCCATCTTGCGAGTGCTCTCGTGCGCTATTCGCTTAACTTCAGAGTTTCCATGGAACCCGAAGCGAGTGAACTCCCAAAAAACCTCGTGCTAGGTAGGGATGGGAATATACATATAAGGATCACTCCCCCGGGCGATGTGGGATGTCACAATCCACCCCCCCCCCTCAGGGGCCCAACGTCCTTGTCGGCACACCACGGCCAAAGTTAGGCTCTGATACCAAATGTCACATCCCGACCCAGGACGAACCACTTACTGGGCCTGCTCCACCACCGTAGCATGATATTGTCTGCTTTGGGTGCTGACCACGCCCTCACGGTTTTGTTTCTGGGAACGAGAACTTCCCAATGGGTCACCCATCCTGGAAGTGCTCTCGTGCGCTACTCGCTTAACTTCGAAGTTCCCATGGAACCCGAAGCTAGTGAGCTCCCAAAAGGCCTCGTGCTAGGTAGGGATGGGAATATACATATAAGGATCACTCCCCTTGGCGATGTGGGATGTCACACAGCTACCTTATTTGATGAATTATTTTGGAATGCCTTTGAAGTTTTTGTGTTGCTAGCCCATTGTGAAGCTAAGAAAACACCCCCCTTTTAGTGTAGATAATATCGTTTGTTAAAAAAACAAAATAATCATTTGATAACTTATTTAATCACATTGTTATCCGTGTGCAAAATTTTTTTTTATGACCGACATTACACGCCTCTTAAGATGTTTTGAATGTGTTTAAAAATAAAGAAATTGAATCAAATTATTGCTAGCTTATTGTAAGGTACTAATTAAAAAAAAATATACAGCACCAAAAAGTAAATTATTAAAGAAATACTGTTAAAATGACAAAAATGCCCCTACCTTATCTGATGTATTATTTTGGAATGCCTTTGAAGTTTTTTTTGGGGGGCATTTTAGTCCAAATATTTTGGTTGAAGCATGGTGACACCAAATCACTATTCACCTTTTCCATTCTCTTTATATATAACTAGCCTTCATGCATGCGCTCATGCGTGTGCAGAAAATATTTTTTGAACCACAACATGCTACTCGCAACCTATATATTTTAAATGTATTTATATGCGTGAATTGACAAAAGAAAAGTCAAATACTTGAAGTAAATGAATAATTTTATATCATGCTAGAAAAAAAAATGTTGGAAATGTGCCCTAAAACCAATCATATGATGATACTTTACGGACATTTCAAACTAATGTAGTTTAAAGGGCAAACATTATTGTTTGAGCCGTCTCATATAAATGTTATATGCTTAAACGATAAGTCCAAGGAATATGTGATTGGAAGAATGCGATCTAAAGAAGTTAGATTCATGAGACCATTCTTTCGTTGACACATCCTAAACGTTCCTGATCATAGGATTGTCAATTGGGCATTGACAGTCCGTTAAGATCAGTACGTGCTATGTCTTCTCTCAGGGAGAGTGACTAGTCTCGAGTCATTGGTGTGTGTGACATCAAGACAAGTACGTAGGTGCTCAATAGAGAATGAGTTCACTGAACACGATCAACGAAGAGTTCTCATATTCATGTCACATGAGAACTCATGGTTGGGATAATGCAAATTAGTCTTTTGACCTGAGGCATCACAGTTGTCTTGTGGTTAGGTCCTTAATCTTTGATTATGTCAAAGTCACTCTATCAGGGTGTCCACGGCATCGTCGGGGTTAAGCCACTTAGCCATGGAGGCAAGTGAATGCGCAACAAGGGATCTCTAACCTTCAAACTGTTTGAGGGAGAATACTCTATGATATGATTTGGAATCTCTGGCCAAAGTATGAATGAGATGTTGGAATGCGTTCCAGATCACATTCAAGGTAATCATATAAGTACAAAGATTCACATTGGATAGTAGACATGAATAAACTATCAAACCAAACAATGTGGTCAAGAGTATTGTATTAGAGAAAGACCGTATTGCATTTGTAATCCTAAACTGAATAGGTTCTCCACCTCTTCTGATTAGCTTGGGTAACCATGATATGCTGCTAGGTGTCACTCATGGTTTGTGGAAGCCCTAAAAGTGTATTATCACTAACGGGAGAATTGAAAGTAAGTTTCAATTCACAATCGATTTGAAAGAGTTTGAATCGCCCACTGCCTCGCTAAAAGGAACCTAATGGATCGTACACCGTGTAAGGTAGAGTTTGAAGATTCAACGGAGATGAGTAAGAATAATTAAATGGTTTAATTATTTATGGCAAGGATTAATTAATATGATTATTAATCAAACGAATAAGTTCGTTGAAGACCTCGGGATAGTTTTGGACCTTAAGGCCCAATGGGCTTCGAACGTCAAGCCCATTGACTTAAGTTGTATGACAACTTAATGAATAATGATTCACAAAGGCCCAAATAGCCCAATTAATCCCCATAGGCCGGCCATTTAGAGGAGGGTAGTGAACTTGGCTTAATTGCAAGTTTGCCACTCCATTGTGAGGTGGTATAAAGACATCTTTATAGCCATTTCATCCTTAGGGTTTTCTAGGGAGTAAAGATGAGAACACAAACCTCCCTTTGCTCTCAAAGAATTCGGCCAATCTAGAGGGGAAAATCTAGCAATCTTACTTCCTCTAGGTCACTCATTTCTTCTTCAATATACCTTGGTGTGGAGACTTAGAGGTTCTCAATTTTGGGAACTTGGAGAAACCTTTTCATCCATCCAAATCCATGGATCCAAGATGCAAGGAATGAAGACCCTCTCTTTGGGTGATTAGCCTTTGCTTATGCAAAGAGGAATCTACAAAGGTATTGATTTCTCAACTCACTTTATTTTGAGTTGAGTCTTGATTCACCTATCTACTAGGCTTTGAATTTCATGGGTAAATGTTTTGTTTTAAGTGCATACAAGCATGATTCCGCCTTTAATATGTTAATTGCATGCTATTGATGTTGCTTAAATGAACATGTTTTTCACATATTTTCCTTCAAAAAATCCCTCGTAAACCAATTAAATCAACTAACTTCACATAATAAAATCGGTCTCTGTAGAATTTCCATTAAGAATAGAGAAAATAATATTTAATGAATAACTTATTAAATCACATTATTGCTAACTCATATGAGGCTAAGCCCACCCCTCTTAGTGTACATAATATCGTTTGTTAAAAAAAAAAAAACAATTATTTGATAACTTATTTAATCACATTATTATCCGCTTGCGAAAAATCTTTTTTATAACTGGCATTACACACCTCTTAAGATGTTTTGAATGTGTTTAAAAATAAAGAAATTGAATCACATTATTGCTAGCTAATTGTGAGGTACTAATTAAAAAAATAAATTATTAAAGAAATACTGTTAAAATGACCAAAATGCCCCTACCTTATTTGATGTATTATTTTGGAATGCCTTTGAAGTTTTTTGTTTTGGGGGCATTTTTGTCCAAAACTTTTTGTTGAAGCATGGTGACACCAAATCACTATTCACCTTTTCCATTCTCTTTATATATGATAGATAGATATTTGAGATTTAACTATCGAATCTTTCTATTTTCAATCTCGACTATTCATTTACAATTGAAGAAAATTGTAATTAAGATAGAAAGCATGTTTCACTTTAGGATGGGTGGATATTAATCTCATATGTGAACGGCGGATATTAAATTTAATCTCATACTTGAACAGCTAGGTATCATTCTCAATCACAACTTCTTTCATTTTTTGGTACGGAATTTTCCACATGCTCCTTTTCTTCTTCCGACTCATGTTTATTTCTGACATTCGATTGTGTAGTCAAAGTACAATCAAGTGACGGATGGAAATCAACATATGTGCATAAAGTCATTTCTCTTCCTAGAAAACGGAGAAAAACTTGTACGGAGTTTAACTTACCACTCAATCATGTTACACACCACTTATAACTTGCTAGGTGTTATACATTAAATATGATTTATTTTTTTTTAACTTAAAGCATTATTTCTTCAAGAAACTAGTTAAAATAAAACTCACAACCCCATTTCAACCTTCCTCCACCCGCAAACTGCGCCTATGGACTCTTCTCTCTTGTCGGCCGGTGTCTCCAACGCCGTCAATTTTCCCCTCTTACTACTCAGCTCCCCCTTCCTTGATTCCCTCATCTCTCATCTTTCTTTCTCATGATTGCTTATAAATGATTCAATCTCACATCATTAGCCCATAGTAGTTGAGAACTGGGAACTACAAACAACTGGTGAAGGAAGGTGTCTTTGTATTTTTTTTTTTTTTTTTTTTTGTATTTTTCTTTTTTGTTTTTTTTAGAAAAAGGGTGCGAAATTTATTACCAACAAACAACTAAATACAAGAGGTCCAAAACAAGTAAAACACAACAAAAAACTAAAGGACCCAAAGATACACATCACAGGGCCCAACACACAAGTTGGAGCCCAAAAACTAACACAGAACAAACAAAGCACCCTAGCCTTCTATAGACGCCGTCATTGCCTTCACAAAGTATCATCACCAGCGCAAACCAACACCCCGTACCGCCGTCAAGCATCCACCTCCCAGAAATGAAGAAGAAGGTGGCTCCAACAACCTACAACAAACTCGGTGCCGATCGCAACCAGAATACGAAAGAAACCAGTGGAGAACCCACTGACTACAGTGACAATGAAGGCAAGCAAATAGAAGGTGGTGGTGTGTACACCTAATTAAAAACTCGACGCACCTTCCAAAGAAACCACAACCAAGTGCTGTGAAGAAATGAGATTGCAAATCTGAAAAAAGGAAGCAGCGAGAAAGAATGGAGTCAACCGGAGTGAGACTGGAAGAAAATGGAAAAACAAAGTGAGAGGGATAGATGAGAGCCATGGAAGTGGAAGGAGAACGGAGGTGAGAGGAGATTGAAGGCGGAAAAAAGGTGGAAGAGCAAGGCGGAAAGGAAAAGTAGGCAGTGAAAAATTGAAGCAAAAAGAAATGAAAAAGAAACGAAAAAAGCAAAGGACAGCCACCTACCCTTGCCGGAGCTCAGGCCGGCGGCTGGGAAGAAAAAGCAATGATGAAAAAACTCACACATAGAGGATTGATAGTTGGGTTCTTCACCAAAATTTGAGTGTCCATGATAATTATTCGATAATTTATAATAAAAAAAATGAGGTTAGTCAAAAACCTAATTCATTTAAGATGATTTAATTTAAGAAAATTTTAACAAAAATCTTCCGTACTGTTCACTTTAACGAAAAACCATATTTTTACATAAAATGTCAATTCTGATACTATTCACTTTACCCTTTATTTTGTCTTTATCATTAAAACTTAAAATTTTCAAGTCATTTTCTTTAGTTTTCCTTTAATTTAATGAACTTTTGAACCAGTAATTAAACAAATTTTACACAATTTCTAGCAACCATGCAAGGCCGTGAGGAGAGAACCTTGTGATTGTGCCGCTGTCACTCAAAGTCGGGTCTTTTAAAAAATTTACTTTTCCATATAATTTTTTATTAATTGATTCCGTAAAAAGGAAATTTGAATCACATTATTGATAACCCATTGTGAAACTAATCCTACTTTCTTCCTTTAGTGTAAATAATATCATTTGTTAAAAAATAAATTGAAAATAAGAAATTATACTAACGCAACACTGCTTAACACATGGTAAGTTATGAATGGTGTCGTATGATTCGATGTCAAGCCAAGCCCCACACATGATTATTCCAGAAGACGTGCCCATGCATGACTTCCAAGTAGGGACGAAGATAAATATGCCACAAAAATAAGTTCCATGTAAATCTGAACAATCTCTGATATAAATTATATCGTTTCCGAAGTTGTCATTGTTTTTAGGTTGTGCACAAAGACATCGTCGAACGTCCCTTTTGAATTTACGTCGTCATACAGGCCCCAAACCTAAAATTACCAGGCAACTATGCACAAACTGGTATGGGTGAAAGAATTGATGGAACAAGATTGCGGGTCTACAAAATCAAACAATGATCTATACCTTTGATTAATTACAAGATACAACACAATTTCAATATCTTGGAAGCATTCTTGAGGCGTACGGATTGCTTTCTGACGATGTGAGAGGAACAGTTGAGAATTCCGAATCAGAGTGCTCCGACCGAAAATTACTGCGAAAAGGAGAGGGGCTTGTGTTTTGGATTGGTGATAAATTTGTTCTTGAGAAACCAGGCTCAGCCCCACTTCTTGTTCTGTGGTCAGGATTTGATGGACCGGTATGCGATTTGGTTGGAGTTCTATATGAATCTTCTTGAGATCTGCCTGAATCATCGGCCAACTCCCGTCTCTCCCTTTCTTCAGTTTCTTTGAGAAGAAAATCAACCCACAGATCTGCAAAGGACTGGAGTTGGTAGGGAACAAAGTTAGTGGAAGAATTCATGAACCAAATGCGGAAATAATAGTTTAATGAACCCATTTGGATTAAGGAAACGCTCTAGGAACAATTTTCCGGGCAGCTTATTGATTCAAATTTAAAAGCTAATAGAGAACAACGCTTATGCAAGGTAAAACAGCACTAGCTGGAGATCCAAGTACGACAATTAATCTTTCCATCGAACGGAGACAAAAAAGTACCTGGTTATCAGCTGCTGCATTTGCAGATAATCCAGCTGAACCACCTCCCAAAATTCCACCAACAAGGCGACCAGGTAGAGAGAAAACTCCACGAACAACACCTTTGCCTGCACCTTGAGAGACGCCTATTCTCTGCTTGTCTTCATCAGAGAATCCCAGCATGCGAGCCATAAGATCCAGAACCTGAAGAGCCACATAAAAATTACGTGAGTCTGCTTACTGAAAATAAAAGGAGATAACCAGGTTTAAAAAGAAGGGCAAAACTTGTGTCCGTGGTGCATAAAAGCTTAGTTGGGTTCGGGAACTGACCAATGAAAAATTATTAAATTCTAAAAGAAACTGAAGAAAACAGCAAGAACACTTTTGGTAGTGCCCCACCCCGTCGCTAGTCTAAATAAATCTTCATACCTCTTTACTGTGGTTTCTCTGGAAGTAGGTCACCAGTAACTTGATCACAATGCGTCTGTGAACAAAACCAATCTTCATTAATGAAACAGCTTTAAAATAAAGTATGTAAACAAAAAATATACCAATAATCCTTAATGACAACGGAAGAAAACACTTCTCTGAAAAAGTAAGAAGAAAGAAAAAGGCAAGATGAAAGAAAGAAAAGAGGGTTGGCCTATAGTTGAGACACGAGCCATAACTGAAAATTGAACACAAAAGCGAACGCCAATACTCTTATCTACCCAGAACCCAACAGAAGGCCAACCAAAAAGTTAAACAGACCAACCTGTCAACAAGATAATCTGAATCTACTGACATCCTATTAAGCCTGGTCATGCTCTGCTCAACAGCTAGGCGTAATTTTGCGTTGTCTTCCTCAAGTTTATTTACTCTGCTTTTCCAATCTACTACTATTTTTTCAGCTTGTGAAAGCTTGTACAAAATTTCTTCCTTTTCCTTCTTTGATGCTTCTGCCTGATGATCCGCTTCCTGGTAGAATCATAAACATTTAAACTCCGATATACTTATGCCTGCGTGTGTGAGCAATATGTGGGGGTGCGTGTGCAAGAACATGTGTGTGTGTGTGTGTGTAGGTGTGCGGGGGAGGGGAGGACTCCAGTTTTATGCAAGTTAAACACTGTGAACTTATATAGTACCGACCATCAGAATATACAGAGCTTAAATTTGTGTAAGTGATGCAACTTTGTATGATATAATCATGTAAGGATTTATCTTCTTGTACTTATCGTCTCTAAGACTATCCTCAACAAACCAAACAAGTATGATTTGCTAATCACAGTGATGGAACACCAATGTAATAAATGTACTGAATGAATATTATATAGCACAAAAAGCAAATTAGTATTTGCATACTCAGACAAAATATGAAAATGCAAAGGAAAAAAAAGCAATCTTACTTTCAAGAGCCGAGAAAGCTTAGCTGACTCTTCTCTTGCCTGAGACAAATCTCCTTCCAAATGTTCCTATACATAAAAGGAAACTAGCATCAAAATAATAATCTCAGGATTCATACATCAACACAAAACATTCCAAATACCTTCCTTGATAATTCAATAGGAAGACAAACAAAATTTACATTTGGTTACCTTAGCTTCAATTTCAGCATAGTACTGACCAAGAGCAGTTTGAAGATTCAAGAGTTCAACATTTTTGGCATCTATTGTGCTCATGCAGCTTTCAAGTCTTTTATTCAGATCGGCAATAACTTCCTTCGATTTCTGAATTTCATTGTTGTTGCTCATCTTGAATTGGTCCTGATTTGCAATTGCCTGCTTCAAAGCTTTCTCCAAATGTAAAATTTGAGCTCTTCGATATTCGTTACTTTCTCGAAGTTCCTCAATAATTTTGCTGTCTTCATCCATTTTTTCAGACTCTTCAGATTCCTAGAGAAGGTATATGGGAAAAATCAGTCATCAATTCTGCGAGACATTTTCATTTAGGAAATACAGGATGTAAAACCCACCAAAACTGTTTGCCAAAAAAAATAAAAAAGACAAAAAGATTTGGGTCCATCTTGAACCTGATTCAAAGATCAACTCAGAATTAAACCACAAATCTGTCACCTGATTCTGAAATAAAGTTTCATCATATATCTACCCCATAAGAGCTCCCAATTTTTGTAAATTACGAATAATGAAGAATCTCTAGATGCTGGAGACATCTACCTCAAAACATATCTCAAGAATTCTAAATTCTCTATTTGTGTCCAATAGTGAATATATAATATTTGCAGAAGATGATATGTAGTGTCAAAGTTCATATATTAGCAGAATATATCATACAAAAACAAGCATAGGTCCATTTTTATAAACAGTCAATAAATATCAAATAACTTAACACAATATCAGATAACTTAACACTCTTCGGTTTAGTCATCAGATTTTCTGCCAAGGGTAATGCAAAACAGTACAACAGCCTGCAGTCACTATCTATTGTCCCCCTCATTAAATTTTTGTTATTAATGGTCCCCTCAAAAACCAAGTGCATTGGCGTTCTAGGATTCATATAACCGACCCCACTCAGTGGGATAAGGCTTGGTTGTTGTTGTGTAATGGTCCCTTCAATAATGAGTGTGCAATAGAGAGAATAATCCACTGAAAATTATCCTCACTCACAATCCCATCAATTTCATTGTCAAATGGACCACAATGCAAATAGTAAATATCTTTCATGTAATATCATGTCAGGCACCGCAATGCGAATAATGAAAATTTTCAAGACATGTAACCTTTTCCAACAAATGCTGTTTAAGGCGTGACAATTGTTGCAAGGCTTTGTCCCTTTCAAGACGTGTTTCCTTCAAATTTTTATCAAACTCTCGTAATGATTTCTCCATTTCTTCCTTTCCAGGAAAACTTTCTGAAGATTCCACCTTCTGCACAAAATTTTAAAATACTGATAATAAGCAGAAGAATTGCTGTCAAAGTACAAAGAACTGAGTTATGTTAAAACATACGATCACACCCACACCTAATACACAAAGGGAGAGGGATTAGGAAATAGGATGCCATCCTATGCAGGAAAAAAGTAATAATTGTATTCCCCAAAAATTCTCAAAACAAGATTACCTGCATTTCACTTGCAGCCCTGCTCACTTTCAAAGCGCCCTCAAGTTGACTTTTCTCCATCTATGCAATGACATAGTATTAGGGTTGATTGTCAAAGTAACACAAACTCTCATAAAAAAAGGTATGACAAAATAAAGCACTAATTATCAACCTTAAGACTATTATTTTCCTTCTGCAGGGTTGCAATTAACCTTTTCAAACTCTCTGCACCATTATTTGCATTTTCATCCTCCCTTCTATTCAACTCCATTTGCAGTCGACTTATCTCAGACATTTTCTCATTCAACTCGCTGCTTATTTTGCTTATCTCAGCAGAGGTCTTCCAAAAGAAAGTACATGCATGGCGAAAGACTGAGGTCAGAGCACCAAAAAGTGGAACATAGATGTACACATACAGCTGCCCTCATAAAATATAGCCCTTGATGTCTGAAATATAGTAGAGGATTTTTTTTTTTTTTGCATATTTCCTAATTGAAATGGTAATGATGCAGTGTAGAGGAAACCCGCATATATTACACAGATATATCAGTAGATAGATACAAATAGACAACGCAAAAATAATGAGCAGTCAAATATATATCAATGTCTCTGTCCAACTTTGAAATTCACCTTTTCTCTATCCAACTTCAGAAATTTGAGCTCTTCCTGGATTGCTTCATTCAGTTTCTGTTGTTCTGCGAATGGACGAAGATTGAATACAAAAAAATTAGATAAATGGTCAAGATGACTTGTAGAATTCCTTCTGAATCTTGCATAGCAATGTACCTTGTAACTTTTGATGTATCTTTTCTGACTGATTGCGTTCTTTTTTAAGTTCCATCCGCAATTTTTTCATCTCAGCAGTCGCTAGCACTGCTGTCGGGGACCTATTATTCTCTTCTAGTAAATCTGCAAGCTCCTAGAAGGCGTTATACATCCGTTGTCAAGTTCTTTCATCATTAAAAGAAAATAGCATACTGGAGAAAATAAATTCAAATTCTAACTAAGCCAAAACTGCTTTGGATATCTATTATGGGCTTCAGTCTCTACAGAATTCCGGGGTTTATCTTATTCTAGTATTTGGTTCGATTGGGAAGCTTTTATAATCTAGGTTGTGGGGTCTATGTTTAAGTCATAGTGGATACTGCCTTAGAATATTTGCTTCTATGATTTTTTCTAATACTGTTTCTGTCCAAGTTGTGGCCATCTTGTCCACTCCTTGTGCAATTTGATTGATTGATTCATTTCTGTTTGTGGTAACAGATCATAGAAAGAAAAAACACTATTGAAAAAAAAAGGAGACAGGTAGATCTAACCGAAATAGAAAAGAATACAAGGTGCATTACCCTTTCACTCCCTTGCATATCTGAAAGCTGTGAAATCCCATTGCTGGTACTGTCTTGTGTAAAGACAACACCATTCTGTTTCTGATGTCCAGAGTATCCAACTTTTGCTGGACTTGTCACTTTATGCTGTCTGTTGGGCGACTGATTATCACTTCCCTGAATAAATTTGAAGCTAACTTAGCCAATTATCAGAGCTCAAGGACAATCAATGACGACAACTAAGTCAAAACAATTCTTGCTAACTCAATAAAGTAGCACATATGAAATTAATAAATAATATGGAAGCAATTAACCCACTCCATAAAGGGGTTGAGGATCTGGAACTCTGCTATGCCAGTTAAATACACCTCTCGATTCAAGTACCTTATTAATGCCCTTCTTACTAAATGTTCAGATAACTAACACGCAGACCAAATAAATATATAAATAACAAGTAGCCAGTAGCCAGTTTCTTAAAATATATACTTTCTGAAACCTTGGGCTATATGATAAAAGAAGTATCATAAATAAGTTTATGATTTAATTGAAGCTAACCACTAAGTACTAGCAAACTTACTGAACAGACTCATTGCAAACAATGTTAATGATGACGCAAGTAGATTTTGTCATAACAACTACCTTGAGCACGTTGACTCCATTTGCAGCTGCTTTGTGATTTTCATTTTTAGCTGCATTCAGAGATGCAGTAGTTGAGTCCAGATTCTGTTTCAATGAGCCATTTTCTTTACTCAATCTGGATATTTGATCCTGTCAAACGGGAGGGTTTCAAAATGACAAAAGACATGTTGTAATATATTTTATTAAAAGATGCCACCCCATACAGAATATAAGGTGTACAAATCCAACTACAGAAATACAGAGTAAAAGGTGCATGGATCCAACTAAAGATACTCCATCAAACCACATAAACAAAGAGGATGTAATCAATAGTATAATTTCCCTAGAGTTATTGGGTACCTCTTTTTCCTTTAACAGAGCTGCATAGTTTTTTGATAATGCTTTTATTTCTGCCTCAGATTCCTGAAGCCTCTTAATCTCCGATTTGTATTGTTCAATCTAAATAAAGAAGGAAAAAAAGTGCAGATTAGAATATCATAACATACTCTATCTGAGAAAGCAAACCAAATAACAGCTGTGAAAGATGAGAGACGACATGAGCAGTGACCAGTGAAGGTGACATTAAAACATAGAGCACGACGCCACCATGAAGTCAACTTAATGTTTCTTTTTAGACCTACTCCTAGAGCCCTTGCTGCCACAAAAGCTAGCAAAATGTAGACTTTCACACTTTGTCACCACAATTCTGATTACGGGCTTAGATCAAGTATAATGTGATAGACTCTGCCTATTTCTACATTTGCACCATTGCACTACAGTTGTGTAAAGTTTAGCAATTTAACCAATAATTGCTTAACTAATAACACTTAATAAGACCTGCTAACAGGAATTATCTCGCTTACTAATTACTATCCATTGATTCCCTTCAAATTCTGTATGCTCTCAACCTAAACCGCAAATTAAGAGGAACCTCGCATTTCAATACGAAAATGAACCACAATTTGCAAATCTACCTCCATTTCGAAGCCACACACCGATGCTAAATGATTCAATGTCTCACTAACATAATAACCAAATTCTCAGCTAAAAGAGAACATAATCCTGAATCCACACTCATCGAAATCGATCCAAGCATTCATTAACAGCTCTAAAACCCAAATGAACAAACGACCGACACTAAAATAATTCCCAAACCCAAATAAAATCCCAAATTACCCAAATTTCCAAGAAAAAAAAAATCACAAACCTCTGGAGTAATAGTAAAATCGACGCCATTGGGGATCGGAGAGCGGGAGGGGGATTTGGAATGGGCGAAGCTGTGGGAATTCCTCCGATCAGATAAGGAAGAAGCTTTTTCTCCATTGATGGCATGGATCTCGTACACTTCATCATCGTCGTCATCGTCGTGGACGTCCTGCGCCATCTTGTTAAGATTCTCCTTCAGGTTCGCAATCGTGCTCCACATCTTTCAAAACCCTCGCAAAAACCAGGAAATTCAAATATGCGTGGCTGCTTAATCTGAAGAAATTGGGCGCCAAAATCGTTGGAAAGTCGGAGGTGAAATTTCTTGGACTGGGGATTGAAATTTGGGATATGGGTAGATCTGAGGAGGGAGGGGAAGAAGGAGCGAAGCGAAGAGGTGGAATTTCGTAATTAGATTTCGTTTTTATGGTTAAGAGGACACGTTTTGTTACTTATGAAATGTCTTACGTCGGTAACGCTATTTTTTTTTTTTTTAATAAACGATATTATCTAATTTACGAGGAGATGATGTGTTTAGTTTCATAATTGACTAACAATAAGAGAATCGAACTTAAAGTCTCTCACTTGCAAGTGAAAAAGAATACCACTAAACTATAGTAGCAAGTGGCTTGTTAATAACGCTTTTGAAAATTACTTTTTTGATTAAATTTGTTTGTAAAAAGTCTATGCTGCCCTATTGACTTACAATGACACCAACCACACTTTGGTCTTTGATGCTGATCCACCACCTCTTACACAACGACGCTACAATTAACCTCTAACGATATTAAAGACGACCACAAACTCATTACTAAAGAACTCCGTTTAACGAAAAAAGACTTACACTTCAATTTGATTTAAACCAAGATTCTTAGGATTCTAAACCACCAGCACAACAAGAACAATATGACAACGTTACGACGCTCCAACAATACTCCTCCTTTTATGATTTTGAACCAACACAACCACAACAACAATCTAATGACGCCCTTTTGATACTCCAATGGTATATCGCATTTTCTGATTTCGAACCGCCACATCCACAACAATTCATTCAAAGAACTCTCTCCTCCTTCATTCCCCAACCAAATTTCATATTCAAAAAAATTGAATAATTGGGCTAAAGCAAGCAAGAAGAATGGATCTGAAGCTTACTCAGCTATTTCTATGGTGTTCCAGATGTTCTTCATTGCTTCAAATTTGATTAATCAATGTGGAGTAATCAAAGAATGGATTTGAGAGTGTCGTTGGGTCTCACTGGAGTGTTGTTGCGGTTTTTGTGGTTTATGATCTATGAAGGACATCTTGACCAATAAAAACGTCAATGAAGAACAATTAGACTTTTCACAGGCAAAGTTGATCTAAACAGCAATTTTTAGAAAGTGTGCTTAAAAGTGCAACCAATTGCCATAATTTATTTGAGTTTTGTAGTGTGGGACAGTAGCTAAGCATATCAATAAAGTGATGGATTGTAATTAAGCTCTTAGGTTAGTAGGACAAGCCTTATCCTTAGCGGGCGGAAAACAAATCACCTTGTGAAATTACAAAATGGCATGTACTTGGAGACCAACTTACATGTTTGCCAGTTACTCAACCGATGAATACCAACACACCAGATGCTAGACGAAATACCTCACTTAAAAAATGAGAGCTTTTTTTTTGGATCCTTGATTGCATTGTTAAAATAAAAATAAAAAAAATAAAAAAAAATAAAAAAAAAACTTAAAACTTGCACACTAAGATGTCTTGAAGTTAGAATATTGCCCACTTGTCCTCCAAACTTAGCTGGAAACAAAAGATTTTCTTTTACATGCTATATGATAATCAAACAAATTACTTCAAAGTTAACAAGTAACGATTTTAATCACTTGAGTTACAATTCTTTTACTAATTTTTGGTCTTTTGATATTCAACAATTGCACCTTATGTAACTTAAACACAAAACCTCTTCCATCATGGTTAAAATTTGGCCCTAAACGACATTTATCGTTGGTTCGTGTATTATAAAATTACATTACTGTCTATTTAGTTTAAACTTATTTTTCTTTTATAATTGAGTAAATTGTAGCAATGGTTCCTCAACTTTAATCAAATTAAAGCAATAGTCCATCAATTAAAAATTCATTACCATTGGTTCCCTAACTCATCCAAATGTGTAGCTATGGTCATTTTCATCAAATTCGTCAGAATTTTGTAAAAATAAGTTATGTTGGAATGACCATTAGTACAATTGAGGTCTCTCAACTCATCAAAACGTGTAGCTATGATCCTTTTGGTCAACTTTGTTAGAATTTTGTCAAAATTATTTATGTTGGAATGACCATTTATATAATTAAATTAAAATTGAGAGATCATTGTTCCAATTGAGTTAAAATTAAGAGATTATTACTACAATTTACTCCCTATAAATTAGACGGCCCAAATGCAGTAAGAAGCCCAACCCTTCCACTATTTAAACAGCCGTTGTACCAGGTAAACGCAATCTCGCCGCGCTCTAGGGTTTTGCAGATCCGCTGCCCTATTCCCTGCTCGTTTGTTTTTATTTTATTTTATTAATTAATTGCCTCTTTCATCTGAAATCCGTGTTATTATGCGATGATGAAGAAAACAATTACCGATGAGGAAACTCGTCGATTGCTTCTGCAACATGAATTATCCTTTATGGTTCGTATTCACTGAGCATTCATCAATATTTTCCTCTTTTTATTCATTTATATGTTTTATTTTTATTTTTTTAATTTAAAAAATCTTCTTCTCCACCCGAGGGACCTATGGAGGGAGCGCCATAAAACGATGCGCTTTCGGCCAAGTTTGCCTTCGAACATCGCTCTGAAATCCGATCGCCGAATCTCATGTTTTGTGTTCTGGGTTTCGGTTTTTATTTTTGGATCGATTTTTCGTACATATATAGTTTTATTTATTTATTTATTTTCATTTTTAATTGAAATTAGATTTGAAACCGAAGGTCCCAGCGGAGGGGCAAGCCACTCAGAGATGAGGCCTCTCTAACATTATTCAATAAAAAACCTTCGCAGAGTTACTTGCCAAATCGTACGGCGTCCAGAAATCTTTCACTTCTGAGCGTCTTGAACCCTTGGCTACATTTTTTGTTTTATTTTTAAAACTATTTACTTAATTTTGATATTATTTAACTTTGAAATTCATGTTTGAATTTTGTATGATTTTTTGAATAAAACATATTTTCAATAAAAAAAAAGGCTTAAATGTCTAAATGGTCCTGGTATTACCTTCTATGCCGGTGTTTTACCTTATTGGTCAATGTAGTCTTTATGTTTTCAAGTTGGCCATATTGCTCTGTGTTTACATCCGTATTCAATTTAGCCAAATTGGTTTCTATGTTTACATTTGTTAGTCAATGCAAAACAATATGTTAAAAAAACATTAAAATAGACATGTCTTAAATCTCATGGTACTCAAGTGAGTTGAACGTCAAGGCGTTGTATCTTTTTACTGGATATACACAAAATTACGTTTTTGTCTTGTCACGTGCATGACACATGTCAATTGTACCAATCCTTTAACAAAATCTATAAACATAGAGATCAATTTGGCTAAATTGAAAAGGAATTAAATTGGCTGATAAGAGTAAAAATATGGGGATTATTTTGACATTTAAGCCATAAAAAAATTGTATTATGAACAACACTCCAAAAATAGCAACATTGCAAAATTCCAAATGCATTGGTATTTTAGTTGGAGTGTATTTTTGCTCGCCCCTTAATTTTTAATTTTGGTGTAGCATTTACCTCCCTCATTGACGTTAGCGAAACTATTTGCGTCAAATATAATTGAATACTTGTTTGCTTATTCAAACTGAGGAAACTTTGGTTTCCTCGTTTCATAAAGAACGTCATGATCGATCGCGCGTGGAGTTGTTATTGGCTGTTGATAGATCCTCAAGAATCGAAGGCCAATATCAATCCACAAGCTCCATCCATGGAGTCAGGTCTGACATTCTCGGTTGTTTTCCTGGACTGTTCAACAGTTGCTATGGCATCCTAACAGATAATATTGCTGCGATAGAGGCGAGTTAGAGAAACACAGTGAGAATATGATAATATTGCAGCGGATGATGATAGTGCAGAACAAGACACAGAGAATCAATATAAACACGTCAAAAAACATAGCGTCACAGGCAGCCATTGATGATGATATACCAGAACTTCACTGCTGAAATATGTACCTACACAATACAAGACACAATGGCAGTCCAAAATAGAAGAACCAAAAAGACAGCAAACCTTGTTTCTTCAATTTTGCCATTTCTCTACAATCAATACCGTCTCAAGCTGAAATATGAAATCGATTGTGATCTTGTTAATACCAAAAGGGCAGAACATTACACAACAAGAAAATTCGAGTCGAACATGATTATCACCTCGGATTCTAGTTTGTTTCTCTCTTCTTTTACATTAAGCTTTGCAATTTTCTTCATATCCTCCCATCTCAAAAACCCACATGCCATACCTCCATTACTAACAAACGGAAGCTAACAGAACATTTGCAGCGAGAAACATCTCAATAGTCAATACCTTGCGTTTGGCAATATCTTTTGCAATGTCCCTAGCTCTCCATTCATCAGCTTCTCGGTCAGTTTCCTCGAACCTCTCACACAACTACGCATCACCATACCAAATCAAATGTAAGCAAAATAAATCAAAGGTAACAACTTTTGACATCCTAAATCGAAATTCGAACACACCGATCCACCTCTGCAATCATTTCCGCAATGCGCTTCCTCTTCGCTTTCCTCCATCGTTTATTCATCTTCGACTTGTGTATCTTATTCGTTAACCGCACTGCCGCACACTTCTCCCACGGGGCACATTTCATGCGTGATCATTCTAAACGGTTCAGCTCAACTCGCAGTTTCGCCGTCAAAGCATTCGCAGCTTCCACTGAGAACGACGCTTGAGACTCCACATTTACCCTCCTCTCTTTCAAAAACTCCGAAAACCCATCTATGGAAGCTTCACCGTTGTCATACCCTTTACCGTCTTTGATCAATTGCGGCATCTGTAGCTCTTTCTGCCTACGAAAATTCATTCAAATCGCAGTTCAAAAGTTAACGGAAGTTCCAGAAAGTTAGCGAATTGAAACTGGAATTTTCAATAGTTCGATTTCGTACATTGCTTTTGCGAGATTCAGAGTGTCATGCAAGTTCTTCAACTGATCACGGACGTTTGCGGTTTCCCAGAAGGAGCTCGACATTGGCGTGTTGGGCGGCACCACCGGAGCGCACGGAGGCCGGGGTGCCGCTGGTTGGTACGGGATTGGATTCATGGCTATCGAAATTGGCCGAGAAGGAAACCTCAGAGATTGAAATCAAGGGCCCATTACGAAACCCTGTAACTAACCGGGGGCGAAGGTTTTGCCAGTTCGCGCGGTGGAGCATAGATTTGATTTTCTAACCGAAGTCGCTTGTCATCAAATAATTAAATGGAGATGGTAAAAAGGCATGTCAGGATGGCCGAGTGGTCTAAGGCGCCAGACTCAAGTTCTGGTCTTCGAAAGAGGGCGTGGGTTCAAATCCCACTTCTGACATTTGTTTCCACTTTTTTTCTATTTTCCTAATGGGCGCCATAAATTGGGCCAACCTTTCTCAAGGGCGTCAACGCTTGCCAGGAAATTACAGCAATCTTGGTGTTGCCTTATTAAATGCTTAATGCTGTAGGGTTTGATTTGCCAATCTTCATCTCGGAACGCAACAGTTGACTTCAGACATTCCTAGGAAAGTACCAACTGCTCCGCAAGTTTTTGTATGCTGATTCATGCCTACCTCATTCCAACAAATAAAACTTCATGTCTAAAGTCCAACTCATGGTGCACTCGAAGATGGATTACACTTTACGATCCCCACAATATGATTCAAGTTCATGTCCAAAGTCCGACTTGTCCGACTTATGGTGCACTCGAAGATGGATTACACATTACGATCCCCACAAAATGACACGATTGGCGGAGGTAAGTTTTCTTCGTCCAATCTTTTCTGATCCCCTCTAAATGAAAAATCATTCACCTCTGCCTTCAGCGTGGTCCTTTGAATTTTATGAGTTATCCAATCAAAACGAACCCTAAATTCTTTGGCTACTGTACAAATGGATATTGGTTTCCATTGATCCATATCAAGCAGCCTGAAATAAACTTCGTTTCTTTTCAAAGAACATAAAAACAAGAAATTACTGCAATAAAAGCTTGCTGAACTGGTTTAAATCTCAAGATATTTACGAAATTCAACAAAAAAGAATCGACAAATCAATAGAAATAGATACTCTGTTATGGAGGTTTAGTTTAAACATAGAAAACATAAAAGATCAAATATCGGAAAAAGACTGCCAAAAATAATATCAAATGGCAATTGAAAACCTGCTGAAAAAGAATGATCTTCAGACCTAGATGCCCCAACTTACAAACGGAGAACCCTAATGCAGGGGCGGTATTTAGATGAGCCTCAACAAACATCAGCCATGGGTATTAACAGCTTCCCAGGCCAAGTTCTTTGGGACGGGAAGGGCCATGTCCCAAGCCTGCTGGGCAGCATTCCTTAGCATCCGAATGGTAGTCACATTGGCATCCAAGAAGGACAAACTCTTGTAAGGCAAATTGTGCTTCTTGCATAGTTCCTTCACTGTGGGAGAAATCTTCCTTAGCTGGGAACGGGGTAATCGGGGGAACAAATGATGCTCAAGTTGAAACTGCAGGCCACCATAGAACCAGTCCATCCAACTCGAGCACAAAATATCCACGGTACCAGCTGTCTGCTTCTCAAACCAATCGTTCCCAGTTGGTGGTCCAAGATAAGTATCTCCTGTGAAATGGTTCAAAGTGAACTGAATGTGCTGAAGTGCTGTCACTGCAAAGCTCGCCAACACGAACATAAACCTCTCCCTCCAATTAGGCAGGCACGAAACAAGGAGAGGAAACCAAGTCCAGAAAACAAGGATCCCCATTATGTTCAAAGCTCTATCTGGGATGCTTCTCTTCGAGAACAATAGCAAGAATGTCTGTATAAACAAGTTAACCCTTCCAACAATCATGATCGGATAATATGTAAAATGCTGGTGGCTGACTAAAAATCTAGCCACAGCATCAAATGTCAGCTCTCTTCCATAAAAGGTTGATGTTATTGAATGAAAGAATTTCGTGGACACAGCAAACACCGGCATGTGCTGAAGATCGGGATCATAGTCAAGGCTGTTGCAGGCAATGTGGTGGGCATTGTGAGTCCATTTCCACCAAGCAATGCTGATCCCAGTCAGGCAATTTCCGGCCAGAAATTGTGCGATTTTGTTGTACCCGCGGCTCGACATAACCTGGTAATGCCCAGAGTCATGCCCTATATAGGCACCCTCAACCCAGAGGATCCCCAACAAACAACCGCAACCAAAATGAACCAACACACTCTCAGACTTCAACACACCATACACAACAAGGTAAAGCATAACCAGAATACTAATCACAGAGTAAAGAGCCACATGCCCTTTGTTTTCGAACAAACCGAGCTGGTTAAACTCGGAAGCAAGCTTCCTGTAATCCTTGGAGACCTCCGAGATCTCGAAATCTTTCAGATGGTACCCAGTGAAGAACTTTCCCAGGTACTTCCATGCGGACGGAGGATGGTAGGCAATGAATGCATCAGTGACGTCCTGGCCGGACATATTGAAGAGAATGGCATCCCCACCCGGGTGATCTTTGGCCCAATCAGTGATATTGTAAACCTTGCCCTGGATAGAGATCCACAAATCCGAAGGCTTGTTGTGCAGCTTCAGCTGCTCGACAGTAATGTACTTCTTCTCACCCTCCATTGTTGTCCAATCCTAATGAATTCCGATCCAAAAACAATCAGACTTCCAAACAAAGGATCCGGGTATGGATCGGACAACACAAACGAATCAAACGCAGATAACCCTTTCGGATCTGGGTTCTGGGTTTTGATACAAACACAAAAGTAAAGCAAAATCCTGCAGTTTTAATCCAAAAAAAAAAAAAAACAGCAGAAATGCAGAGAAAAGAAGGAGAAAGATTGAAGCTTTCTTCCAGATTCAATAACAAACTAACAGTTACAGCAAATACTGCAAGTTATTAAGCAAAATGCAGAACAAAGTATACTTAATATAGACAAAAAAGGAGAAAGATTGAACCTTTCCTCAAGCGTTTAGTCAAAACACACGCTCTTCCCAGCAAAATACCTCCCCACTTTCCGAGCAATTAGATTAAAATGCTGAACGGGTACACACCCACTTTCCAAATTTTCTCCAACTGCCCCCAAAGTCTTCTGGGTTTCCAGAAGAAATTTCAAAACTGTCTCCAAGATATTTTTCGAGCCTTCTGCTGCTGCGTTTTACAGCGCTAGTGTGCTTGTGTGAGAGAGAATATACCCGAAGAGAGAGGGAAAAGGGATAGATAGAGACCCACTAATGGACAAAAGCCACAAAACAGGTTGAGTGAATAGGCACCCCTCGTCTCGTACACAACGCGCTGATGTATGTGGAAAGTTGTATTTTCACCACGGCCGGTATCGTTGACCTGTGGCGGTGAAAAAACGAGGGGGGGCAAGTTAAAGCGCGTTTTATACCGTCAGGGGTGCCGGCCGCTCGGTGGGTGAAGAGCTGTGTGTGTGTGTGTGTGTGTCTCCTAGGAGAGAATATGTTAAATTGGGCAATGGCAGATAATATAACACCTGGCAATGTTTCGCACCTCAGAATGATAATGTAAAAAATAACGGAGACGTCGTCTCCGGACCCCTTCCTTTTAGTTCATTAAATCAATAGATTCGTACCATTGAAATTTGATCAAACGACTATAAATAAAGGTTCACTTTAAAAGTTATAATAACTTCAACCACTTGATCAAATTTCAATAGCACGAATCCACTAATTTGATAAATTAAGAAAAAAGATCCGAAGATAATCCACTTCCAAACATAATCATAACGGATGGTTCAGTAATTATGAATAAATTTTAGACTCGTATTTTATATAGATGCCTGTGTGTGATTTTTAACGCTTGAAAATCGTTTAATAGTAATTCAAAGTAAACTGAAATATATCTATAAGTCCTTATGGTCTCTAAAAAGTAAACTATCTTGACAAGGTCACTAAAATACATTTTCCTTAAAAGAAAAGCAAAAGTGTAAATCATGAGTGCAAGAGTCCAATGGTGAAAAATGACATGGATGGATGTGGATGGAAGATGTGTTAGGTTTGGATCTGTTTAAATTTCCCAAAAATAAAACTCAGAGGCGAAGCTCCGTAAGGTTAAATAATAGCCGTACATTTTTCCTTTTTTTTTTTCTTTTTTTTTCGTCACACTTTTATTAAAGCTAAGCTTTGTAAGGTTACTTAACAGCCGCACATTTTTCTTTTTCTTTTTTTCGTCACACTTTTATTAAAAGCTAAGTAGACAGAAATAGTGAATAGGATTAAACAATAGTGTATAGTGGAGAAAAATGGTTTTATGGTTTTTGCGAATTGGCAAGGGACAATACAAAATATTTAGGTGAAGAGAGGAGGAAGGACAATACAAAATATTAGAGAAGTGGTATTAAAAATGCATTTCATGAGCATACAAATTTATGAAGGCGAGATTTGCAAATGACAAAGTACATATAAATTTTCTTCTTTTTCAATATGAGATTCATACTCTCAGAACATACATCCTCATATGTGGCTAACTTTGAAGTTAATATGTGGGACAACATATATAGGATAATGTGAAATATCTGTTGTCGCTGAGCTTCCCATAGGCTAACCTGTTATATCATGAAGAAAGTTAAGGTTTCATATTAATTTGAAACATATATTTCTGGACTACATTGATCAATTTTCAATTTCAAATATCGTCTTGATGGTGTGGATAAATTTCAAGAATCATTTGAGATTTAAAAAAAAAAAAAAAGAAAAAAAGACTTGTGGGATCTATTTGTATGCCACATTAGCACATAAAATATTATTTTACAAAATTATGACGGAATGAACACATTGATTTACAACACCTATTTTTAAAAATTACATTGATCAATTCTCAATTTCACGAATCATCTCGATGGTATTTGTTAATTTATAGGACTATTTGTGATAAAAAAAATTATATTTATATTTAAATTTATTATTATATTTTAATGTATGATAACAGCCTTAAGTTTTGTGGTGGTTAAGCGGGCGTTTATTATGCATGCAACCCTTTTGCGGGTCTCAAATGGAGGTAGCGGGACCATCGAATCCACTAGGGGGTTCAGCTCCACCGCTGCCCATCGAATCAGGGACACTGCCGCCTGCCAATGCGATCACCTTCTCTGAAGTTGGGCCGTCCCAAGTAGCCCCACCGGCCCCCTCTTTTTTGATTCCGCCAGAGGAAGTGTCCCAAGACACTCTTTGGAGCGCACTTGAGGATACGGCGCGGAGCCTAATGCAATCCCGCGTCTACCGGGCAACGGATCGCGCCTTGGAGACACTAGAGGTAGTCATATTTTTTAGGGTAAAATTTACTACTCTCAAGTTTCGTGGTTTTTAATATTTAGTACATGAAATTTGTTTTCGTCCCAGAGTCATACTAAATTGTTAATTTTGGGACAGTCTGTTATACATCTGTTAGTCTGGTTGTTAAGTCTTCTGTTAATTGATAATGTGCTGCTCATGTGAACAATAACTAGGCATCACGTGTCATTAAAGGATATACTTGGAAATTAAAAATTCAAAAAAAAAATTAAAAACTAAAATAATTAATTAAATAAATGAAAAAACAGAACCTCTTCAGTCTTCCCCAGGCTTCTTCCCCCGCCTCTAAATTCTTAACTGACTCTACGATGGAATCTGACTCCCAGATCTTCCAGAAACCCTAGCTTTCCTCTCAAGTTTCTCTCCAATTCCTCCAAGAACCACTTCTCTCTCTCCTCTCCACCTTTGCCTCCGTCTCTTTCGCTCATCTTCTTCTTCACTTCCGTGTCCGATCAAGCTCCTTCGTCGTTCACCGGCGAAGAACCAGAAGCTCCTCCTCATTCTTCCATTTCGGCAGTCTAGTGCCGGTTCGTGCCGCATTTCTGGTACGCTCAATTTTCTGGTGAGAGCAAGAGAGAGAAAAGCCCTAGGACCTGTGGTGATTGATCTGATTATGGATAATGGATTGAGGTTATGATGTACTAGATAAGTACCATGGACTATAGAGAAGGCGGCTCATTCGTCCATCTCTACATCACCGCGAGCCGGACCCGACTATGGCCACATCAGCGTCCCAAATCCGCTCCCCATTTTTCTGAAACCCCGCTCTCTCTCTCTCTCTCTCTCCTCCAAGCCCTCCCTCTATGCCTTCTCAATAACTCACGCCTCGCACAGCAGGGCTTCTCCGCGGCTGGTCGTGGTGAATTCTACTACGGAGAGGTTGGAGGATCTGGGTTGGAGAAAAGTCTGGGATTGGATTTTTTGGGGTTTGGGGTTCTGCCGACGCAGGAGATGTTGCAGCGGGAGGAAAGGAAGAGGTGATGGTACGGGGTTGGTGACGGGAGAAGGGGTGGCTCGGGTGGGCAAGGGGTGGAGGGGGTGGAGGGATGACGGGATGTCGGGTGGGGAAGACAGAGGGGATTCTGTTTTTTTTTTTTTTTTTTTTTTTTTTTAATACTTTTTTTTAATTATTATTATTTTGAATTTTTAATTTGAATCCCATAATGACACGTGACGTTAGTCATTGTTCATATATGCGCCACGTCATTCGTTAGTGGAAGACTTAACAGCCAGACTAATGAATGTATGAGATTGTCCCAAAATTAACACTTTAAATATGACTCTAGAATGAAAAAAACTCTATATACTAAATATTGAAAATCACGAAACTTAAGGGTAGTAAACTAAAATTTATCCTATTTTTTTATGCAAATAATTGGTAAAGAAGAAAGAAAATATTCGAAGCCTCGATTTTGGCTGATCTGGCCCTTTGTCCTTGGATACAATCATACCTAGGTGAGTGCTCGTCGGATCCTTTTTATGAGGATTTTAAGAATTTTTTAATTACAACTGTTTATTGTATATTGTGTGATTAAAAATTTTTATAAATTTTTATATTTAAAATTAAATATAAATGATATCTAATAAAAACTAATCATACGATAAACAGATATAATAGAAAGATCTTCAGAATCCTCACGAAGAAAATTCCGCAGGTCTCCTCACTTCAATCATGCAATCACATGACGACCTTAGCTGTGCTGTGGTTTGTGGGCCAACACCATCCAACAGCAAATCAAAAACTGAGTGCTCATTAGTGGAACGCATCAATATGTATAATTAACCAATTACTTTATTAATTTAAAAATATTATAATTATAAAAGTATAACAGGACAACAACGCGTGCCCAATGTCTAATTATGTGATTAACTTCGTTTAGGCTTTGTTTTAAAATCTTTATAATTTACTAATTGGCATCTATTAGAAACTGATCATTTTGGCCATACAGAGAAGAAGAAAAAGAAGAATTTACATGAAACATGTTCATTAATGTACATTATTTTGATCCAATTATGTATTATTATGTGTAAATCTTTTTCCATGTGACAAGGTATTTATTAACGCTAAAATATGATGAGGTCATCATAGAACCAGTACAATCAATTCTAGCGAGTGTTAGCGTGTTAGGATATCAAAACAATAGGTTCAAAGTGGTTAACTCGAAAGAAATAAGCTACATCCACTGAGAATGTATGTTATATATTTGTTAGGTTTACAAAAAATTTCAAGAATAGTTTCTCATGTGAGGATGTAAAGGTAAAGAGTCACACATCAGTTAAATGAGAAATCTTGCAAGGATTTATAAGAGGTAGAGCTATTCTACATATTACCAATTAGTTTTAAAGAAAACTAATGAAAATAACTTCAAAATTTTGAATTTTAACAAAAAATCATCTAAATAACTTTATTTAATGATAAAAATAAGAAGAAGAAAAGAAAAAAAAAAAACCCCTAGCTAATGGCACGGGCAAGACTGAAAGCTTTTTCTGGAAGCCATATTTCCAGTAGCTACCCGTGAATATGCACCACTTCTGCTGGACTCCTGCTATTCAAGCCACATACGACTGGAGGAATGAAATAGAAATGTTGCCGAGATCAGCTGCATATTTTCTTAATCGGGTAAGATCACGCTCTGTGTTCCTTGTCCTTTATTTTAGAAAAAAAAAACTAAAGAAAACTAATAAAAATGACTGGAAAACTTTGAGATTTAATGAAAATGACAAAATAAGGGAAAAAGTAAATAGTATCCGATTGATTTTTAGTGTAAAAATATAATTTTTCATTAAAATGAACAGCATCGAAATTTTTTTATTAAAATTTCCAAAAAACTAATCCACTAAGAATGTATGAACATGTTACTCAATTCAAACATTTAATTGATG